AATGCGTATATACTTACAGCACTAATATTACTTCTACTACTACAACCAGTACTAGTAGAGTAGCAGCAGAACACGACGCGTGTCTGCAGCACACTTTCCGACATTCCTTCCGTCTTATACTTATTCTAGTTTTCAGATCGTTCCTTTCTTCAGTTTCGTTTCATCATCCTTTCACAGCACCTTTACCTTATCATCCCATCTCATATCACGTCAAATTTCCCATCCTTACCAAAAATTTTATTCGCTTTTCAAAAATATGAATACATTGTAGTAAATTTTCACATTTATTTCGCTCCTTTACACTCCAAAAATTTATTGTAGTACATTCTGACTGAATCATCTCATTTGAAAACTTCTCCATTTCTTTCTGAAAAAAATATTGAAGAAAAGAATAATCGATTTTTGTACACAACCAGGGGCGATTACAAATGAGAAAAAGCTTCACCCACTCAATCAATAAATCAATTAATCAACAAGATCAAAGGCTACGAATTTCATCAATCTTCAAAAGTAGATTTCATCGCAACCTTTAAGATGTACACAACCGTTAATTCAATTCTTTCACAGTATTCCTGGTCCAGTTTGTGCTTATTTCATCTTTAGCTGTTTTTGTGCAGCGAGCTATAGCATAAATGATAACTCCCAACTAATTTACACTCTAAAGGTTATCAATAAACCGACTGAACTGCTTGAAATGCAGCACAGTAATAGAATGAAGTGTGACATGACGACTAGAACAGTGTGTATCTCTTTTTCACGCTGCACATCTGATATATGCCTGTAAGTAGCGATTTATTTGAAGTGTGATTGATTTATGTTTTGAATATGATGTACATGCACGGGTTTTTGTTTTTGCTTTACGTGCATTTTTGACATAACTTTGTGTCGTTATTATTGTTGATGGTATTGGTTAATCGCATAGTTTTACGAGCATTAAATGTAAAATTTGTGTGCCGAGTAACTTTGAAAATAATTCACTATCAGTAAAGTTATACAATTAACCTTAAGTTAGCATGAAGGACATGATAATAATATTCCACTGAGTGGTAATTTCATTTGCTCGTTGGTTGTTAAAGTGACTCAACAGCATCAAGAAATTTATTGTGCGTTTGTATAGACGTCTTCTAGGCCATTAGGGAATATGCTTTTGATTTTAGCAATCGAACCACTCACCGTTATCGGTCGATGTTTTGATGAGGCGGTATAACCAGAAGTTATCGAAAAGCAGAAACCTGAGAGACGGTCATTCATAATCATAGTGATCTATTTGAATTGGAACGGCTGATGTATCAGCTGCAGAATTATCGATTAACTGATTGTTTGTTATGTCGTCGTTGTGGTGAACAAATTCGTTGATCATTTCAATTGTTTGAATATTTAGTTGCTTCTTCGGCGAACGTGATGACAGACTAAAATGAGTAAATGAATAAACGAAGTATGGACAGCAGAGGCAATCATTGATTGATTTATCCATTTTGTTGTGTGCATTGGATGCTACTATCGCAGTACGCAGCACTGACCGAAAAACGCACATTGATTTGATAAATTGTACGTTTGTATGATCGTGCCGTATTTATGAAACGAGTATAGCGATTATGTTAATGAGTTGAGGTGCGATCCTGAGATCGCCATGCAATGAGGTGGCGTTGGCTTGGCTATCGAAAAAAACGACGGGCATTTACAAATAGCGCTTTGGATTATTTATACAATACCAGTATTAATAACAATAATAATAGATCCATTAATCCATCAGACTGCTGCAATCGCTCGCATTCCACGCTCTTGAAGCGATCTATTCAACTATAACATTCAATCGAAAGTAAAATATTGTTATTGAACAATAATAACAAGTCATTTATTAAGCAAAGCTTATTAGTTTGCTGTTATTGTCGTTATTATTATTATTAAGAAGTAATATAAAGAGAATAACAAACTGTTATTATCAACGATAATATTATCGCTGCTGTAACAGTTGCAACAGCAGTAACTGAATTATTAAAGTAAAACAGTTTGTCGGTTATCAGTACGATTATTTAATTATTGCGTTATTGGTGACGATTTCCAGTCGGTTAGTTCCTTCTGAAAATTTTATTTTCATTACTTTGTTATAAAAGATAAGTTGAATTTCGTATCACGTGCATTGCTTGAGTGATTATAAGTGCATGGTGAAAACAGTTCATTGCTTATTTCAACTGTAATG